ACATCACTGCTGGGTGTGGTTACAGGTGATTAGACTGAACAGTAAACATTAAACCAACCAATTTGAATTGCATTCAAATGCTGCTTTCAGCCATCTTCAGGTATGAAGTAACTTTGTAAAACTGCAACTGATTTAATTGACATATAAGAAAAATGTAACATGGTAGGAAACAGTCGCGTATTTAAACATCCAGCCGATTCAGAGCACCATTAGCACTTATTTGGAGCCTTTTTGTGACACTTGATGAATGTGTGTTAAGTATTCACTTTCTTTAATCTCTCTTTTGGTCTCCTCCTACCCTGAGAGAAGTATCTGTCTCACAAATATTCACAAAGCTAGCTGCTAACTTTGCCCTAGTCCACATGTAAACAGATATGTTAAATCATTATTTTGTCTTTCTCCTTTGTTCTCAAAGGAAATATCGTCCTCTCAAGGAATGTTGTGAAACACACGAAAGTGCGAAACACAATCTTGAGGCCAGCAGGGGAGTTTGGCCAAACACAAACACAGACACACACAATACAGGTCCAAATTTGGCAAGTTGACGCAGAGTCTGTGTCATGGGGTGTTGGATAATTTAGCAGTGACCTCAATATTACATTCTGACACCTCTGTTCCTTAATAGAGTGCTGGCATATTTAGATATTAACACCACTTTTATAATAGTCGAAGCTCAAATTCGATTTTCTAACGGAAGGCTAAACTGAGAACCATGAATTCATATTACCAGCATGCTTACGTTTGACCTAATGGCGTCTAGGAGTCTCATTTAGTTACTACTCATGTAGTAACCTTAAAAGATTGACTTCCGGGTCCAGCGACTCACACAGTAAAGTGAAAAAGTTAGTTTACATCTACTTCATATGCAACCATGTTAAAAGTCCTATTTTTTTTTTGCCACATCTGTCGTTGCAGAATATGTTGCTTGAGTTTATGGCGCACAGTTGTTACCAAAAACTCAGTTTTGGAAACCGAGTTTTGGAAAGGTTCACCCTGCAAGACAAAAGTAGTGTATTAAATAAAAGAAAACAAAGTTTGTTTGTGGACCAATAGCCAAAATGCAAATACAGTATATGATATAGTATGCAGCACATGTGGAATAGACCTTTTGTCTGTCTAACGTTTGGTGCCTAGCAGGAATCGAGTAGACTCCATTATTCATGTTAACTTTTCTGAACTGACCTCAGACTTCATTAAGACTCGTCCCATGATAACTAAAAACAGCTCCAATATTGAATAAATTCAGCGTCTGTTGTGTCAGCAGTTAAAGCAGCTTGTTGATATCAAAGGGAGTCCACAGTCCACTCTGCCGTGTCTACATTATCAACGCGTGGCGATGCTGTTGTTTCTCCTTATCTGCTGTGCTCTTCCTTCAGTTGTGGCTCTGGATCCATCCGGTCTGTGTGTCTGTTACCACAGTGTCCGCTAACCAGCACCAGGCCTGGCCAGAGAGACGACGAGACCAGCACCGCTCTGACGTACGAGGGTCCACGAGTCAATCAGCAGAGGAGCTATTTATTAACTGCAGACGGGTGGAAGTGTTTACTGCAGCACATGTTTCAGCTACACATAACTTTGGAGCCCCCCCCCCCCCGTTTTGCCCCTGGCAGGCCCCCCAGATCCCATGAGAGATTTCCATGAGGTCAAACTAACGTGTGGGGTTCTTCAGATGACTGGGGAGCCACCGAGCCACGTCCCCATGATGAAACAGATGGATAGGATTTCACATGTGTCGTCACTCCCTCAGATCCTCTGATGGGGGGGGGGGGGTCTTGGCCAGAATCACATCCCAGTGGGTGAGGAGGGAATATTGCTTTGGATGTGGGGTTGCACAATGGAGACAAATATGGATCAAGAGCTGATGTCTGAAACAGTGTCCGTATGAGTATGCCAGTATAGGAGGAGGGATAGAGTGTTATTTTGGAGATAATCGTGCAGTTGTGTATTTGCGTTTTAGGAAAAAACTACAGAAGCAGTTAGTATTTGAAAGCTTGCACCTCACAAACAAGTCAAATCTACATCTTACATGACAGAACTTGCTGTTTCTTGGTATTTTGCTCTGTCTTTTCACCTCATAGTATTTTACAATGAGACATGTCAAAAGGTGCCATTCTTTCAGACACATCAACCAGTAAAAGAAGTCTAGATAAAATGTAGCTTTTTTTTATTTCTTGTAAGGGCCACCAGTGCCTTTATTTAAGAGACAGAGTTGGAAGGGGAGACAGTAGGGATGGCATGGTCCAAGTCCAGATTCAAACGCCCTCCACGGGTAGCAAGCCCCAGTATACGGCCCTCAACTTTTATATAATACAATTACTTGGTACATGCAGATGCTTTTGAAATACATGTATTAACCCATACAGGTACATGTTTTCTACTTTAGAGTATGAATTATTAGCCACAGTGGTTGCTCTTCGAATATAAATTGGATGATCAGTCCACCGCTTTGGACCAGACTGAAGCCTCTCAATAACTGTTGGAGGATTCTTTACACAGATATTAATGGTGCCCAGCGAATGGAACCTTACTCCTCTCGTGCCACGAGAAGGTGGACATTTGTGGCTTTGAGTGATTTATCTGGATTACTATAATAATCATGCTCAACTGTACCTTGTTATTAGTGCTAATTTACAATTGATAGACTTTTTGGAATATACTCGTCAACCAAAGGACCATCACATAATTAAATGATTCTCACGTGATTCTCTCAGTATCCCAGTTGTCTATTTCCTTGAATTGGTAACGTTTTCCATTAAGACCAAGTGCTGTAAGAGTGGTTAGGAAAAGACATAGGACAACATTTGTGCTGACTATTCAACCACAGTCTTACATTTTAATTTGTGTTATTGAGGCTGTTAATCGAATAACTGCCATCAGTTGCTTTACCGCTACATCAATCAACTCAAGAGGGAAGGCATTTAAGGGACATTGCTTGTCTTTTTGACAAATAAACAATACTTGTCTGAGGTGATATTTAAAAAAAAACTCAGCAGTCTGCAACTTATGAATTGCTCCATATATGCATCCCGCCTAAGACATATATACTACAAATGTACCACACCAGATGGAATATTCGTTACAACAGATATAAAAAACAATAAGGAGTTATGACCTTTATCTGAGACACATCCTCACCCTTCCTCTGGCTGAGAGTCACACCAACAGGGCCAGCTGATAAGACGCTGTAGTGCAGCCATGTAGCTCCCCCCCCCCACCTCCAGGGATGGAGAGACTCTCAGAGAGCCAGCATGTGACTATTGTCATCACAGAAAAATCACCAGCCTGCTGCCAGCTGCTGAGAGATCCAGACCTGCCAAAGATAGCCTCAGCCCGGCCTGCGTGGAGAAGAGAGGCCCGAATAATATGCACCAACCGCAGAGAGAGCGGCATGTGGAAAACTTTGTGAAGATTCTCAGTTCGGCGTGTCAAATGACTGGGTATATGACTTGATTTTTATATAGTACTTCTATGAAAGTATGGATAATTATGCGTTGTGTGGCCCGCAGACGTGCAGTCTGTCAGGAGGAAGTAGAAAGCAATTATTTGCCTTTGCAATAACTTCATGTGAAGCAGCATTTCTAGCTTTATGTTCTGGCATGTTTCCCTGCACTCACCTGTTCTCAGCTGCAATCTGAGAAAGAAAAAAAACCCATGGAGTCTTTAACTGAACATCCGACGGCTGTACAACCGGATGATGAATGGCTCTTTCAGGGTGAAAATGGCAGCAGTTTAATGTAAAAAACGCTTGTGAGGATTAGCCCGCTCATAAATCTTGATTTGGGGGTTCCATGTGCAGTGTCTCTCAGCAGCAGTGATGGCTCCTTTGAAAACGCTGCCAAGAGGAACAGATTCTGTAGATAAAGTAGGTGGAAACTCCAGATGAATGTCCTTCATGCTCATTAAGTCAGCCGTGGATAATGGGGACATAGTTTCTCTTAACATCTGCCACCCAACCAACCATGGTGTTTAACCCTTCCACTGTTTATTCTCAAGGATGTTCACCCTGGCCAGTGGTGTAAAGTAACTAAGTAGATTTAGAAGTAGCCTACTGTACTTAAATACAATTTTGAAATACTTTACTTGAGTTTTTAAAAATGTTTCTACCTTGTACTTGTAGGCCTATACTCCACTACAATTCAAAGGTAAATCGTGTACTTTCACTCCACTATATTTATTTAATATTACATTACATGACAATTACACTTGTTAGACGCTTTTATCCAAAGCGACTTACATACTCAATACTGTGGGCAATCCCCACAGGAACAATTTGGGGTGAAGTGTCTCAGGGACACAACGACATGCTGACTGCAGGGGGTTTGAACCTGTGCTCCCCTCATTTAATACCTTTAGTTACTTCACAGATGCGGATGAATGATGTGAAATATAATCAAGTGTTAAATCAGACTTTAGTTCCACCTGGAGTAAATCCACAAGCTACCCTGCAGTATACAAAGTCATTCAAACTAGCTGCAGCTTTGAGAACACTTTCATGATCAATCATTATAAAACATATCATATATATTATTCTGAAATGGGTCAATCTGCACAATGACTACTTTTACTTTTGGTACTTTAACTATATTTTGATGCTAATACTTTTGTACTTTTACTTGAGTAACATTTTGAATGCAGGACTTTTACTTGTAGAGTATTCCTAAACAGTGGTACTTCTTCCTCCTCTGACCCTGGCTCTATCCAGCACGTTCAGCAGCAGGCAGGATGTTTGTTCCAATCACTGGAGGTTTGTATTCAACTCTCCCGTCGCGAGGGCTTATTTTACCCATCTAGGAGCTTTCAGGCTTTCACTGCCAGCTTCTCTAATTGGCCCCCTTCTCCTCTGGAAGCCCCAGTGAGAGAGGATCTCCATTGGACCCGTCCTGTAGCCGGGCGTGTGTGTGTGCGTCAGAGTTTGGAGAGGGGCGGTGCGCCGCCGCCGAGGTGATCCCCGAGTTTAAAAGCGCAGAAGTCCTCCGTGCGCCGGAGCAGTGCGTCACAGCCAGCAGCAGAGCCAGGGTCCCCCGCGTCTCCACACCGCGACGGAAATAGCTTTATGACCATGAACTTATTCCACATGTTTTAATATTTTTATTTGCATTTTTTCTTTTGGATGCGACTTTTTTTCTCATCTCGTTGTCTGTTAGCGGTGAAACAGTGCGTGTGGATCCTGAGCAACAGCTGTGGAATATATAAACTCCGCTATATGGATTAGGCATCTGCAGCGGTTTGATTCCAGACGAAGAAGAAAATGAAGTCCGCAGAAGAGGGTACGTTTGACTCGTATTCATTTCCTTTTTATTATAACAGTGCATTTATTTAACTTCTCGTACATTTTTGACACTTTACACCCGGATGTGATACATGGAGCTGTGATGTTACATTGAACCAGCAGCACTTTGCCCTGCTAAATGTCTGTATTCAGAGTGCAGTTAAACCAGTGGTGGAGATATACACTGTGCGCCCCTCCCTATGATTTGGGCATGGTGGGCGTGGTTCTGCTTCTGTGAGCCACTCAAGACTAAAAAGTGTTCCCAAAATAGCCAGAATGTAACTTTTGCTACTAATTGACATGGAATTGTGGGTAAAATAGTGGGTGATTCTAGAGTCATTTGATGGCATAGCCCCTGTCAGCTAACTGGCAGCAGTTTAATTATAGAAAATAAACATTTCAGTGCTTCTGTGTCACACACCACAAGCATAATTAAATGTAAGCATCATTTTCTTTTATTACAAGGATTCACATGGTGCTGCACTGATAGTCTTTATGGCGGGCCCCTAATTCTCTTTAATTCACAGCAGACAGGAGCTGTGGTGACTGTCTGTCTGCATCTCCATCCATATCAACGTGCTCCACTGTGGGCACATTCACCCAGCTTCATGCAGCAGCATGTAACCACAACTCCTGTTCCCACCCTCCCCACCCCCCATGCCCCTGGTTGTGACCCCAGCCTTTGCCACAGACAGGCAGAGTTTCATATGACCCAGCGGGAGCTTTGGCACAAGACCATGAGCTTTCCCCCGAGCTGGGTACAGCATGCAGCTTTACAGCATGCACATAAACTAAACATGTCCCTCCTGTGTTTATTTTCAATGGCTGTTGGGTCATGAAACCAGCCAACAAAAGCGTTGGTGTGTTTTCATAATGTTAGAGTTTATGAGCTACAGCATGTGCATTAAGTGGCATACATTTGGAATCGAGAAGTGGTAAAAAAGCCACCTGGGTTTGGCTTTAGTTATTTATAGTCTGGAGTTATTTTTGTCACCTTTATCCGTGTCACCCAACTCTGCTTTGTATAATTTGATCCATTCAGGGATGTTGTGTGATTAAGTCAAGTTTTAACTTGCATGCATTAGGAAATAGCCAGGGCCAAATCTGGTATTCAAGCAGCTCTCTTGCCATTAGGCTACACCTCTTCAACAGCTCTCATAAGACTCCACTTGGCAGCTGTGTCCCACTCAGTGAGCGTACCAGTGAATGTGTGTTTGATTATCATGGTAACAAAGTCAATCTGTTTGCCTTCCAGATGCATATGGCTACACGCCAAATGTCAGTCTCTCCCTCCCACTGGGCAACCCTTGTCTTCCCTCCCAGTACCTCAGCCTCAAGTCCGGCCCCACTATATCTGTCTCCGTCACAGAGCCTCACAGTTACGACTCCCAGGAGGACATGAGAGCGGGCGGCTACTATTCATCCTCCAGCGTCCGCCCAAACGGGGCCCCGACCCTTGAGAGCCCTCGCATCGAGATCACAGCCTACGGTCAGTTTCCTGAGGATGAGGTGGAGGAGACCAACCTTCCTGTTGCCAAGCGGGTCAACTCCATAGTGACGCTGACCCTCCCCAGTGCAGACAGTTACAGAGACCCCAGCTGCCTGAGCCCGGCCAGCAGCCTCTCATCCCGCAGCGGCCACTCCGACGCCTCCTCCTACGAGTCGAGCTTCTCCTACAACTACGACAACTCGCCCCAGAACTCTCCCTGGCAGTCGCCCTCTGTGTCCCCCAAGGGGTCCACCCTCACCCTGCCAGGGGATGGCTTCACCTCTGGTGGATCTCCTCGCAACTCCCCCTCCACCTCTCCTCGCACAAGCGTGACAGACGACACCTGGATGGGTCAGCGCGGCTCCAGGCCAAACTCCCCTTGTGGTGCAAAGAGGAAGTACAGCTTTAACGGCAACGGACCAGCGCACAAGCAATACCCGTACTCACCAAATCACTCCCCTGGACTCTCCCCGCAGACCTCCCCTCGCCTCAGTATCACAGAGGAAAGCTGGCTGCCAAACACCAACCAGTACACCAATTCAGCCATCCTGGCAGCCATCAATGCCTTGACCACAGATGGGGTGACCGACCTCGGGGAGGGGATCCCCATCAAAGCCCGGAAAACCAGCCTGGAGCACAGCCCCACCATCACCCTGAAGTTGGAGCCTGGAGGTGAGAACCTGATTCCAGGGGAGCTCGGTCTGGATGAACAACGGATGCCATTAAAGAAGGAGGGCTACTGCGGAGGGTTTCTGGATGTGCCGCAGCATCCGTACTCCTGGTCCAAGACAAAGCAATATGTCAGGTAAGCAAGCGCCCTGGTTTGAGTTGACGAAGACTTAATTCACCTTGAGGTCAAATTAGTTTGAAATAAAGCCTGAAGGGAGTAGACTTCTGTCTGCTCGATACAAATAAAATCATTAAACAGACTTACTGACGAGAAGCATGTTTAAACATATTTGTGAAAAAAGGTTATCCCAAACTCGTGCATATCACAGTGTTTTCACATTCTGCACATTCTACCTTGATAAGTTTATCTAAAATAAGCCCTCCTCCCACCTTGCTAAGTTAACTTGTTGGACATGTTCTCACCCCGACAGCCCGTCCCTGCCCGCTCTCGACTGGCAGCTGCCGTCCAGCTCGGGGCCGTACAGCCTGAAGGTCGATCTGCAGCCCAAGTCCCACCACCGAGCCCACTATGAGACGGAGGGCAGCAGGGGGGCGGTGAAGGCCCTGGCAGGAGGACACCCCGTCGTGCAGGTCAGCTTAACTCGCGCTTCTTTATCTTGTGATGTCTTTAAACAAAGCCGCATCTATCTGAAACACTCTATTTTTGTCTTTGAATTGCCATATGAGTATTTTGAAGTAAAATTATCGCAAGCAAAAAAATCAACAACATTTTCACATCATCTTGCAGATTAATGCTGTTACCCCTCAGGGGCCCGAACCCAATGTTGAGAACCCCTAAGCTAGACTGTTTGGTTTCTTGTGATGATTGGACCAACACATGGTGCAGCCATTAGACCCATTTCTCCTTACCTCGTCGCGTCTCGCCTCAACAGTAAACCTCCTGTTTTTTTATACCTAGTGTTAAAATAGATTTGGGCAACTTGTGTTTCATAGCCTTGCTGTTATTTTATTAAAATGTCACATTTCTGAATGGAATACCATAGGTATGCTATTAGAGAGAACAGTCAACTCACTCAGTTCCTGTCCAGACTAGAGTGACTCAGACTTTTCCATTGCGTTGTCGAGTGCAGTGCAGACAGTTACAAAGTGATGTAGCATGTCCAGTAAGAGCTTAGTCATGAGCTTTAACCACAGTAGCTCTGGTGGTCGTGTCTAAAGAAAAAAAATGTGGACAACTGCAGATATGTTTTGGTTTTAAACCCATCTGGTCCCCCAACCATTACTGCACACGCTGACCTCATTCTTTGAATAAATAAAGGGTCTGCAGCGCCGAGTTGGACAAAGTGAGCGGTGAGCCAGGCCATCTGTTTAATTTATACTTTTTGACATTTTATTATAACATTACAATAATTCTAAAAGTTAACCAGACATTCGTCACATGTGGGGAATAGTTGTTTTTGTGTTTGCCTTTCAATTCCGATAAAATTACTTTAGAGTACTTTTCTGCCAGAGGTGCCGTTAGCTAACCCTTTCCTGTAGTTTGAATGGGGAATGCTAACATTGCTAAGCAAACATTTAAAGGACGAAACAGATGTGTAAATAATGCTATACTTCATATTCACTCTCAGAAGATTTTGAGTTAGTAATGTTTTCACCAGAAAACGGACAAAGTGAAGTATACTCACCAGAGTGTTCTAGTACTCTCCCCCCCTAGAGCCAGTGAGATGAAGTTAGCAACAAGCTAGTAAACATAGTTGAGCATTTAGCAGCTAATGGGATAGATGTTTCCCTCAGGAGTTAGTGTAAGTCAATATACGATCCAAAACAGTGACAAGAAAAACAAACATTTCTAAAATAGTTAAACATTTCTACAACCACAGTCACAAAACAACTCTAGACAGAGAATTAAGGTTACGTTACTCGTTATGATACAGCGCTATCCAAATATCCTCAATAATAAAAATACATTATGTGATTAGTGATAGATTATAATATTGCCTAGTGAGGGTGAAACCCCTTCAGAAAGATTTTGTAAAACAATATATTTGAATAAATAGTTTCCTGTGACAACAAATGGTTAAATAGATTCAGCTCTTTTATTCTGACTGCAAAATGCAGTTTATACTTATTTAACCATACGGATAGTAATGATTTTGTACTATTAGTATGTAGAATGAACAGAGTAGGATTGCTGTATCACCAACAAGCCATCATTCGAAATGCTTTAAGTTTAACATTGCTGTGACATTATATTCCAACCCGTCACATGTTGACGGTCGGTCAGGGCCCCTCCCCGTCACTCTATTACGCACAGGGTACCCCTTGAGAGTCAGTTTTCAACGGGCAGGGCGTCCCATTGACTTGCATAGAGCTCCCTGAACGTTGGTAATAGAGGAGTTGGGATCGCGGCGAAATGCTCTCCGCAGATCCATTCTCACAGCGTTTATCAACCTTTTTCTAACTCAATATCAAGCCACACTTATTGTTTTTACTTCTTTATTTCAATTGAATAATGTAGGACTTTTGTTGCCGTCAGTTATGGGGAGAGTAGGGGCTCAGAATACTGAAATCTGTATGGTTTCATCGTTTTTTCCTTCTAATTTTGTATTATTTTCTAAACCACACACTGTGATTTACTCAACAATAATACACAATTATCCTTGTGTTTATTTATTTGTTTGATTAATAAACACAAGTTGGAGTCCGTCAGGACCGAGGGTCGGAGCAGCTCATTTGCTTTAGAGAATTTTACACCCGGAAGTAAAGTATTCTCTCCGCTTCGCTTGACAACCCTGTGATAGTCCTCAAGCTCTGTGATTGGATGTTTGAGTGTGCGCCGAGGGTTACGCCGAGCGTCTAACAGCACTTGAAATGGGATGGAACCACGGCAGACTGTCCAAAACTGGATTTGAACGGGTCCACCCCGTCCCCCCCCCCCCCCCACCCCTCCCCCACCCCGTCCCCAGAACTACACATGCTGGCTATTGTGTGTTTTGCAACATGCTCTCTATGGCACGTCTCTACTGGGAATTGTAGTTTTAAAAGAGGTTTTCGTATTTCCCATAATAAGAAGTGGCCAGTATTCAACTGTGTACATCCCTGGAGGTTTAGGGGGTAGGAAACACTCAAATGTAAAACATATAATTAATAAATGGGTGAAAATTGCTTGTGCCCATAATGGGCAGCATTAATATAAACCCACATGACAGCTAAGGTCAGAAGAGCTTTATTTAACAGCTGGTCTTATGTTTGTGACCCCTCCTGTTGTTAATTGATAAGCCTGAAACATGCACTTGTCAAGGTTCAGAGGCACATTTTGCAAATATGGCAGTAGCCATCGATCATCTTAAGATAAGATATACTTTATTGATCCCAAGTTGGAAACATGTGCGTTACATCAGCATGTGTAACAGTTGTAAATATGCAGTGGTGTTTATTTGTAAATCATTTAGTATAATCACACAAATTCTGTGTTTTATATTTAATAATTATGTGTTCTTTATTTATTGAATGTTCAATACCTGACAAGGCCGAAGATGTTGTTTAATTGCTGATATATTTATGATCCACGTCACATATTCGAACCGTGTATTACAATGCCGTTATGTGATGACCTTCAAAGAGAAAAGCAAGCAAACTCGGAATAAAGTATTTATTTTTTATTTTCTTTTTTTTTCCGGATTTCACATCAACAGGAAGTCCGGTTAACTAAAATGTCCCTGCGGAACAATACCCCAACCCATAGATCCGTGGGTGAATAATGTCAATCACCACATTACACACATCCCTTCACATTTAAATTTAAATTTACATTAAAGTATTTCGTGAGGCCTTCTAAAATATTTTAAAATATAATTAGGGTTGTAGTTGAAGAGTTTGTAACGGACAACGGCGCGTCCATTAATTCCACAACCACACACATGGATTAACATCGATTTAATACATTAATGTAGCCTTTGTTTCTGATAAAAGAGGTGTCGACCAGCTGGGGCAACAAGAAAATCGGCGAAATCGAGTTTGACTATTAAAAAAGAAATAATTATTATATTAATATTGACAATAACAACCGACCGTCGGGGAGCGTTCTCATGGCGTATTATCAACGCTATGGGAGGTCTATGAAGGTCTATGGGACGCCCTGCCCGTTGAAAACTGACTCTCAAGGGGTACCCTGTCCGTAATAGAGTGACGGGGAGGGGCCCTGACCGTCCGTCAACGTGTGACGGGTTGGGAGTGAGAACGTGTCGTATATTAGTATGCACCAATATGACATTTGGAAACCAAAACATGTTACATGCATTTTGTTGCAGCTACACTCACATCTGCACAGGACGTGTGTATTTGTCCATGAGAAGGTGCTAATGATTTAATGACAGGGGTCTGGGCTCACACGGGCTGAAAAGGAGTGTGTGTTCTCTTTTAAACCTCAACCCAAACTTCCCCCCTCCCCTACTTTTCCGCCAGCTACCACCCCAACCACACAGACTTCCCTTTGTTTAGGAAAGTTCCCGTGTGTACTGGCTGACATCATTGCGCGCAGCGTCCTGCGGAGGCGGCAGCAATCAAACCACACACGTTTCTGGCAGGCTGTGATGGAGATGTTGGAGGCCGCCCCATCTCTGTGACTTCCTGATTACATGGTACGCACAGGCTGCTGCCTCTGCTGTGGACGCTGGCTGACGAAGCCTCTGTGGCTCGTCCCGCCGCCCTCTGACTCAAACCCTGCCCAGACTTTACAGAGTTTATTCTGGAAGGTCCTCGTCTGTGTGGTACACTTTTCTCTCCACTCCAGCAGAAGCTAAGCCAGCTATTTTCTGTTCTCTTTCAATCCCATCGCGACTGCCTGCCTCAACCACACCCGTCCTTACACCAGCAGCAGACTAAAGTATGCCCCTCTGAAGTGCTGTGTGCAGTCCTCACCACAGTTAATGCTCAGGGTTTCATGCTGTACTTTGGTGGAGAGGACATACCCCCTTTTCAAGTCTGTGAGGTCTTTGTTTCTCTGTCTGAAGTACAGCTTTCATGATCAGCCCATTGTCGAAAGAGCCGTTTCAAGTGCATTGTTGTTGATTAATATTCTGGAGTCATGTGCATTTTCATGGCCTTGATCGAATTTAGATTTCAGAACAAAATGTAATAAACAAATATCATGTGAAGCAGAAAGCATGACAGGATTAATTGCCGGTCACACTATCCCTCTTTCAACTAAATTGAAACAAAGCAGTGCATATTTTAATGCGTGTCTGTGTGATCATCCTTTCAGAGCTGGGAAACTCTTTGATGCACTCTTAGAAATAAAGATGCTAACAAGAACCGTAAGAGTTCTTTGGCTTGTGACGCAGACCAAGAACCCTCTTTATGGGTTTTATTGAGAATCTTTCCACCTTCTTAAGGTGCTAACACGATCCAAACACGGGGTTCCACAAAGAACCTTTCATATCCCAAGGGTTTTATCTAAACCCCAACCAGGGGGGTTCTAAGAATAGGCACATTTTAAAGACGTTTTCAACTTAAGCCCTCTCCTGATGGTTCTATGAAAGATGTGGCAAACAACTACGGTATTCCATGTGTTGTGTATTGTGGGTAGAGTAACCTTAACCTCAACTTAGCTAATAAATAGTTTTTATTTCACTTTACTGCCGCAATCATTGAAGAACTGATTCTTCCAAAATAATATTATTCCAATGGAAACGGCTCCTCCTCAGTCTTACAAAGAACCCGTTCTTGGAAAAAGGTTGTTTCGAAACAAATTGTTCTGGTTAGAATCCTAAATCTGCCTTCACATCATACAATATTTGCTCTTTGCTCACTGCGATGTAGGGCGCAGAGCCTGTCGGTGAAAAAGCCTCCTTGCCAGTGCTAGCTGGCGGCGCTTCAAACGGCTCTTCATTTATCTGAATGGTTGTACGTCAAAAGGTCAACAGCAATTGTGGTCAAAGTTGAAATATTTTCAACTGGAAAACATTTTTGAGGTGTATGCCATGCTGAGGGTAGCATCCTGTCTTGTCGGGCGGTATCGCTCTCTCCATAGGAACAGAACAGCAGCGTTTTACTGCTGGTCATGGGAAGACAGCTTAAGACTTTCAGGAAGAACCCTTTTGAAGCTCTTGATTCTAAGAGTGTAGGAATGGAGAGGGAGCCCCGAATGCCCTCACCCCTTCTTTCTCCTCCTCTTTGGTGCCTTGAGCAGCCGGAGTCTCCGCATTCCTCTTGTGGGTGATAAAATGAACTAGGAGGAGTGCTGCATTGCCAATGTCAAACTGAGTGGAGGAGCGGAGGCTTTACATGCAGCGGTATCATTTGGATTTTATTGCACTAACAAATCATAACTGTTGTCTGCTGCAGCTGCTGTATGAAACAGATGATACAGAGCAGTGAGGCTTTTTGATTTCAAGAGTGCCGCTTTGACATTGTTATGTCTTAAAATGCTGACATAAGCAGAAAGGCCTACTTTCTAAAGTTTTGGAAGCAATCAGGAACAGATGAAATCATTCAGGTAACATTAACAAGTTTGATTATTTATATTTGCTTAGTATCTCACTCTGATAATAAATCAAAGTTTATAATCAGTAATCTGTTTGTAATTACAGTTTGAGAAGTAAAACCTTATGAGCGGGCTTCCTCACTTCATCACACTCCTTCCTGCTGCCTAAATAAACAGCATTGCTAGGCAGCAACCCATTTCCTTACACAAATACACAGGCCTGCTGCTGCAGACTCTTCACCCTGACAGGATCCTCCTCCAAATCACATGCTGTGCCCCCCCACTCCCACCCTTTCACTCTTGTTGTAGGCACTGGCAATCTCAACCACAGCGCTTTGTAATTAGCTGGGGTTCAGCATTTGCTGCTTTAACACTTTGCATTGGCCTTTGATGGTGTACATATTGTCATTTTTTCTTATCCACTCATGCCGGATTTGACTCACTATAATCAGATATATTTAAAACATATTTTTCAGTACATGGGCCGCCAGCTCTACCAAAGACACTTTTAGATTATGATGCATATTTTTGAACATGAACTCCTGATGAAGGGAACAATGATCATACTTTACCCTGACAGGCTATCGATATTAGTTCCTCCTTTTCAGACCTAACAAATAGTGCAGCAAAGTTTTAAACTTGGTATATTCATTAAGTTTTGTTTTTTAAATACTGTGTTAGAATGTAAATAATTCACTCAATTTCCAAAACTTTAGTATATTCTTGAGGTATTTTTTTCTACTTATACCCTACTACATTTCAGAGAAAACTAACTGAATTTCTTTTTTTTTTTCCAAGTTTAAAAAAAATAAATTATAAATAAATAAAAACATGAAGATGTTATAAAATGTGTTTCCTTATTAACTACAGGACAGTTAATACAGGTACAGCTGAAGCATTTATAACCAGGGCTGCACATAACTGGTGCGCATGCGCACCTCCGCCAACAAAAGAGCACCGTGTCATTTGAAAAAAGGCGCATTTGCGTTATATATATATATATATATATATATATATATATATATTTGCGAGTTGCATATGAACCTATATATACAGTCTATGATATGAACCTATGATATGAACTCAGGGTCGGCCCGTAGCCCTGGCGTAATAGATGTTCGCCAAGGGCGCTAGATCTGTGGAGGCGCTGCGCTGGCAGCTCTGGGAGGGAAAAAAACATTTTGACCGTTGGTGCTCATCCTAATTTTCGGCCTTGGTGTAACGATATTCACAATTAAGTAAATGTAACACCCTTTTCACCCCGGTTACACGTTTCATTTGCCCTGTACGATGGGCGCTGTAAGTGATGAAAATGGGGGATGTTGGCTTATCTGGCGCCCGCAGCTCACAGCCAAAATGCGAGGGAGAGAGAGCACCGGTACCGGCGCTGTTGTTATTAGAATCTGGTGCTAGCTGCGGATATAAGAAGAAGATGTTTCTACAATAATGTGGAAGGAGAGTCCTCTCCAGTCAGACTGAGAGGCTGATAACTACAGCTCAGTGAGGTAAAGGACTCTGAGTGTTTAGATAGTTAACTTTAGTCTAAGTTCAAACGGTTTGGTCACAATTTATGTAAACACATATTTCCAAGGCACTCCTTTATAATTATTGGGATAAACAGGTTTGAAATCATTCCAATGTATACTATAGGTTAGTAACCAAAAATATCCTTTAAAACTGGAGAGATACAAACAAATGCATACATAAATAAATGTTAAGGTAAAATAAGATATGAATGAACAACATAAATAAAACAAGTTACATTAATTTGTTATTGGCTATGGTAGGTTATTGGTTATGTTCACATAGCCTACTTATTTGATTACATCCACTTTTCTAAGAAGACAACAGAGACTTTCGACCCAAAACCAGCAGCTAATCGCAGACTCAACCAGAGAGAAAGAAGTAGGCCTACATCATCAGCTACCATGTCTGACAGAGAGGAAGACAGTGAGGAGAACAGTCAGGAGGGTAGTGATGACAGCTTGTAGGATTACTGGTCGTGCTAATGTTGTCTTGTGTTCACCTCTGCATGTGTGTTACTGTGTTCACCTCTGCATGTGTGTTCAGTGCCGTGTGTCTGACAAATAAAGTCAAGACCCCCTCAAAAGTTACGGTTTATTTCATTTTAAGGATGAGCACCAAGCAACATCTCCAAGTGCTCCTTTGAGAACCAGGGCAAAACAGTTATGTGCACCCCTGTTTATAACCAATAAGTCATTTGACTTTCTGTTGATGTCCTTTAAACCATTTTTTAAAAATGTATTAACATTTCATGATATAATATGTAATAGCTTACACAGGGGTTATTGTTCTGCAATTTATACTTTTACTTCAGTATCATTTTAAATGCAGCACTTTGGTTTTACTACAGGTAAACATATCTGAATACCTTTTCAACTCTTATTAAATATTGTTTATTATATCATAATGATATGTCTTTATAGTAAGGGATTTCGCCAAACACTAAAGCATACTGTATATTGTGCTGGAAGCTTAAAATCCTGATCAGGTTTATTGGGATCCTTTACAATGTGTAGTACATTCGAACTCTTCAGTAAAAAAAAATGATATACAGAACTGTATTTTTTTTGTTTGTGTAGCCCACCTGCTTGAATTATGACATTTTTTAAAACAGAACACAAAACTGATTAAAAAATTAAACCCCCCAAAATCCCCCCCCCCCCCCCACAATCTCTGCTACGAAAACAATGGATTGCAGCTTTAGCCTTTGAAACAAAATTACATATTGAAACTTTGTCCCCAATTATACTATTTAGTCAATTCTTATTATACAAATTGTGTTTCTTTAAATTATAATGTCATCAAAAGTTAGTTATCATTCCTCCCTGTCACACTGTGAGGATAACAAATGTAACTCTCAGACGTTGTCAGTGGTAGCTGTGTTCTCAGGTTCCCTCTGTTGGTCTGGGCTGCATGCCTGCACCATGCAGTTTGGGTGGTTGAGGTCATCCTGGCAGGAGGCCTCCTGTCAGCAGCACCTCTGGAGGGCTGGGAGTGCTTTGGGTCGAGCCCAGCACACAGCGAGCAGCACGTCTGTGTTGTCTCCAGCTCCATCGTGCCGGGATCGTTTTACTGATAAAATCAGAGGAGAGAGTTTTCCTTGACCCTGATTGGCCGGGGCTCAGTGGAGCTGACATGACTTTGGCTTTTCTGAAACACTAGCTTAGTCTTGTCACAAATCACAGCGCTGCTCACTGTAGGTGGTTTTACTGCTCTCTGGCAGCGGCGCTCCCTGAGGGCCAGCTACTGTAGGATCAACATCTTGGAAGGCCTGACACTAACTGATGGAGGAAGTGTGTACGGGCCAGTGGTAGTAAGTAAAAGAAGATTAAAAGGGTGATTACAAGATCCTAAATGGGTGCTTTGTTTGAAAACCATCACACTGAGAGCCTGACCTCTGAAGAACCTACATTTGCAGATGGATGTTTTTTTGGGAGGACATTAGGGCTTAACCACAACTGAGTCTTTTCTTTCTTCCCCGCCCCCCTTAGCTCCACGGGTACATGGAGAGCGAGCCCCTGACCCTGCAGCTGTTTATTGGCACAGCTGACGACAGGCTGCTGAGGCCCCACGCCTTCTACCAGGTCCACCGCATCACCGGGAAGACGGTGTCCACCCCGAGCCACGAGGCCCTGCACACCAACACCAAGATCCTGGAGATCCCCCTGCTGCCGGAGAACAACATGCGGGCCATGTGAGTGTCACAGGGAGGTTTCCTATTCACAGGTTAAAATATTCGAATCAAATGTTTACAGTGGGTTTGGACTGGAATTAGTGTTTGTTTTACGTCTCCCAAATCAAGTCTCAAGTAATTAAACATTTGTCTTCAATGTTGAGTCTCGAACGAAGAATTGACATGGACTTGCCCCAAATGACTTGTATAAAGATATTCAGAGCCGTTTTTCTTGGAACTCTGGATAATAACCAATTCAGGTGGAGGGTGCATATGGGTAGAGCGTGCAGGGGGCAGGACATGTCGGGGATTACACAATTGTCACATATTGGTGTGTCATTTTGTCACAAGAACCCAAGTCTCTTGTTATTCCTTACATTTGTCTGAGGATTTCTGGGTCAGTCCTTCAACCAAAAGTACCTGAATCTCGGCGTCTCTCTATTTAGACCTTTTTGGTGCCAACTCTTTGTAAATGACCCTTCTTACAGTGTATATACCCTTGGATGTTAGATTTCTTTAGTTTTTGACCTGCCGTTAAAACAAACAACATCATATTCACACATGGGCTCTATCCAATGCCCTGACTCGTTACTGGGTCTCTTGCTCCTCAGATACAGCTCCACTGGCTACTTTCTTGATCATTTTGTGGTTGAAGTGCATGTGTGAAAAGGGATTTAGTTTAGCTGTGTAAAAAAGTAATCTCCTAAGACATCTAGAGTTGTATGTCAGTCTTTCAGACAAGTCCACATCATGTTTAAAGTCATTTGTGATCAATCCACACCCACAAAAACCAAAAAAAGTATCTGAACATCTTCCTTTCAAAGTCCTCACCGTGCCATAACTTGGACGTGCCCTGTCTAAAATGGCTTGAAACGTACCTTAAATTCCCAAAAGATTATAAAATAACTCCTGCCATGTGAACATCTGAAGCAGCTGCTTTGCAAACATATTCATCACTGTTTCTAAACTCCAATTCTATGACTTTACTTTAACTGAGGTATCCATGCAGGCCTCAGGGGGAAATCGTGTTCATTTTTTAACATATTAGATGGCTGCTTTTCTAGAATACCTAACAATTTGGAAATATAACGTTTTCTGTGTGTGTGCTACCCTCTGTATACAGACGTGTGGCTTTCCCATTTTATTAGCCAGAGATCAGATTACTGGGGAAGCTCCTGGCTGGGACCGGAGCTCTCTGTCTGAGCTACAGCCTGCTAGCATCAGCACTTTCTCTGCGATTTAATGGATGTAACACATAAGCTCCCGTTATACAACGACTTCACCTCAGGATACGGTTTCTCTCTCCTCACGCCTCAGAGTTCTTACAGTGAAGGCTCTGGGATTTGTGGGAGATTTATTCGTTACGACATGCTCTCCAGTGTGACATATACAGTAGATGTTTTATTATGTGGTATAGAAACAGGCCCTATTACATGTCTGAAACAGTAACTCACGACGACGTGCTTTAAATCAAATCATTAATCTAAATCAGTTAGCTAATATGTAGCCACTTTGGTCAGCTGGGTATGACTCCAATTATTTCTCAATAAATTAAATGATAGCGTTGAATTCTGCCATACTTCTTGGTATCGTCCTTCTTTTTTTGTTGTATTTAGTGTTTTGCTCTCAGCCCTACAGCGTGGGCGTAGAGCTGAACAGCTGGGGTCTTTCACATCAACACCTGATTACTTCTCCAGTGTAGCAGGCCCTGGTTTCTGTAGCAAAGAATGTTAGGGAGTGTTCAAATGTGTGTAAAAGTTGACATTAACTAGGCTTCGTGGAATGCAGCATCAAGTAGCACAGAGATGGAAAAGCCAGAAACTGTTATGAAGGGTATTTTAAAGTAAGAAAAAGATTGAGATGAGTGCAGATAGAAAAATAGTTTTTTTTAAGTGTCTGATGAAGACTCTGACACTGTGAAAGAAATCATTACAGCTTTAAGATTTGTAGACGGGCAACAGTATTTCAGTCTCTTGTGGGTCATAGCAAAGATATTACGTGATGAATGTTCCCAGCAATTCGTTTCTATAAAGTTTGAATATCACCCAAGAGTGGATGCACTGAGGTGTAAAAGCTCTTTCGGGGCTGGGGGTGTTAATCTTCTGTTGACATGGCTGCAGCCTCTGTATTGATGAAGTGAAAACACATTTTTGTGGCTGCAATGCTGTATAAATCACATCTTGATGAACTGTGAACATATGAAAATCGTTGATGCATGTGATATTTTGGCTCGTGGGAAACTCTTTATCTTTGTCTTCAACAGAATCGACTGCGCTGGGATCTTGAAGCTGCGTAATTCGGACATTGAGCTGAGGAAGGGGGAGACTGACATTGGACGCAAGAACACTCGTGTGCGGATGGTGTTCAGAGTCCACATCAACCAGAACACCGGGAGAACCGTGTCCCTGCAGGCCTCCTCCAACCCCATAGAGTGCTGTGAGTACATTTAATTTTTTATTTAATTGTTTATTTGGCACGGACAATGCACAGTAATGAACACTTAAAACATTAAAATGTATCAAGCGTAACAGTGCCAGATTTAGCTTTGAGCTAATTCCCATCCGCAGTCCCTCACATAAAACATTTAAGAAGTTTACATTTTACAAACATAGCAAAAACAAAATACATGATATGCAAAAAGTGCAAAAGAGCAAGAGCAGCATACACAATTATTTATGACATGGTAATACAATATAGCAGCAACGACATATAAAGTGCAAGAGAGGATACAAAAGCTACATAAAGTGCAAGATACCCCTGTGTTAAAGTGCATTTAGCGGTGATTGCATGTCTGTTTGTTTCTCAACCATTCTTTTAGTTGACCTTTGAAGCTATTGAGAGAGGGACAATCCCGTATCTCAGTTGGGAGGCTATTCCACGATGAGCTGCCTTTAACGGAGAGGACATTTTGTCCAAAAGTGGTCCGTCTGCGGTGGACTTCACAGTCTCCTCTGGTTTCTGACCTAGTGCAGCGTCCAGTGTGTTTTTTGTGGATGAGTTCCCTTGAGGTAGGGGGGGCCATTCCATATAAACATTTATAAATAAAGCAAATACTTTTAAAAGACTTAAAATTGTCAAAACTTAAGAAATTGTGTTTTTCAAGGATGGTACAGTGGTGGTATGAATATGGCTTTCTGTCAAACACCTGGATAGCTCTCTTGTACAGCTGTTCTATGGGTTTAAGATTTGTGGCACAAGCAAACGACCCGTTTGTAAAACAGTATTCAATGTGGGATAGAATCATACAGTGGAGGTATGACTTTGCAGCATTGACAGTTAAGAAAGGTCTAATTTGTTTAAAATGTTTCAATTTGAATTTAATGGTATTGGATACTTTCTTAATATGTTTCTTAAAAGTCAAGTTCGAGTCCATTATGACTCCAAGATACTTGAAGTGGGAGACTAGTTCTAATTCTGCTCCGTTTAAAAACACGTTGGATCCTTCGATTTTGACTGGTCGTTTACTGAACATCATGCATACTGTTTTTTTTGCATTTAACTGTACGCAAATGTTGTTCAGCCAGTGTTGAACCTTGTCCAAAGCATTAGAGAGACAAGATGCGATAATTTCAGTGTTTTTCCCGTGTACAAAGATGACCGCATCATCGGCATACATTCAACTCAGGACATACATTAGGCAAGTCATTTATGTACAGAGAAAACAGTAATGGTCCAAGAATGGAACGTTGTGGAACCCCAACAGGGTTGACAAGGTAGGGGGATTTGGCTCTGTTGACCAAAACACACTGTTTTCTGTTCGATAAGTCAGACTTAAACCAATGTATCGAAACTGCCGAAAAATTGAAATACATCAGCTTTGTAAGGAGCACTTGGTGGTCAACAGTGTCAAAAGCCTTCCTGAGATCAAGGAAGACAGCACCTACATATGGGCTCGTGTCCAACAGACATTTAACCTTTTCCACAAAGACACAGTTAGCTGTCTCAGTGGAGTGCACGAAAACCAAACTGCATTGGGTGGAGTGGAGCGAAACCTTTGTCTAAATGTTTGGTAATTAGTTTTGACACCCATTTCTCAGCTACCTTAGAGACACAGGGGAGGATTCTGATTGGTCTGTAATTGGACATTATTGCCTTATCCCCAGATTTAAAGATCGGTGTCACCGTGGCCACCCTCCAGGATGATGGAACTTCCCTCGTGCTGATAGATTGATTCACTAGCATACTAATTGGTTTTATCAGACCGTCGATATGTGTCTTTATAAAGTTTACATTTCGCCTTAACACCTCAGCCTTTTCATTTTGTGCTTAATAGGGTATTTCATTGACTTACGACTTACCTAGAAGGTGGTCATGGGGTTGAAAGATGATCTAAAGCAGTGGTCACCAACCTTTTTAAGCCCAAGATCACCGACCTCGGCCTAGGTGAAAGGCGAGATCTACCTATTGCAGAATTGAGTGAAAAAGACGGCCCAGACAGTGCTTCCAATTTGAGGCTTTTTATATAGGCTAATTGCATCTGAATTACTGTTACAATGAAGGCTCCATAATCAGCTCACGGCATATAGGCAGGGGTAAAGTGCTATTTTTTATGAGTGGGGGGCGGACCTCATCTCCTCTAGGGGGGTCCTCACCTCCTCTAGGGGGGTCCGGGGGATGCTCCCCCGGGAAGATTTTTTTTTTAAATATTGAAGTTGAAAGCATCAATCTGGTGCACTTTGAGAGCAACATGAAGAGATCTATGGATACCTCTCTCAGCACCCATAAGAAACAGAACTGTAAACAGATTTTCTTTTTCTTTATGGATATTTTACAAATCACTCCCCTTTTAAACTGTATTCTTGTTTTACTGCCATATAGTATTTCATACCTGTTTTTCATTTATTCTCTTATTGTTTGTATAACTATAATGATCATGAAGGTGTGCCGCGGAAATAATCTTTTGAATAATTTGTGAAAAAAAAGTTCTAAACACTCAGTCCTTTAGCTCACCTGAGCCCCTCAGTCTGACAGGGGAGGACTCTCCAGCTTGTTGTGGAAACAGCTCCTTATGTCCGTTAGTGCAGCTAGCTAACCAGATGCTAACATCACGGTCCCCGCTAGCACCGGTCCCTCTATCTCCCTCTCTCCCTCTCTCTCTCTATCACACTAAATGCGCTATTGCCACACACACACAGAGCCGAGCTTGAATGACACAAGCACACATGTATTTCCATGCAACTCTCTGATTGGTCTGGTGACTTGCCTCTGTTGCATTCACTGAACACGGGAAATTGCATCCCTGCCGTCCTCTCTTGTGTCATGATGAGGTTCACGTAAAGCACGGTTAATGTATTATATTATTGAGGTCTCTCAATATATACGTCAATCAAGTGGCACCTGCTAACGGGGTGGTGGATGATAGGTTTACATCTAAAAATGTATTTTTCAAACATTATTATTTTTATTTTATTTTTATTTCTTTTGTTACTTTTTTTTTTAACGGTCCGCGATCTACCCCACCACACTCGCGATCGATCGGTCGATCGCGATCGACTGGTTGGCGACCACTGATCTAAAGTATATAAAAGTAAAAAAACATTACCATAAAACTTAATATTCTTCAATACTTTATAGTTTTCTCTTCAATTATTTTCAGATGTATTATGCTCCCCGCAGGATGAACAGTAAAAACTTTGCTGATTCTATGTTTTTTTTATCTAGCGCTATCATAATGTTAAATTGTTCATTTTTGCAATACTTTGGTTTATGAAAGAATACCTACAAAAACCCTCTAATTCCCATCAGCCTCAGCTGTAATGTGTTAATTATTTCAATGCTTCGATAAATAATTAATGCTGATGGGCCATGGACACATTTCTGATCTCCAAATACTGATATAGATACAAAAATTACAAATCATATTAAAATATTTTTGTTTTAAATATTTGATTTATTTAGAAAGTAGCTCGGTACAGTCATGTGCAGCTAGCTTCTGCTCACCCTGTAGTGGTTTATTTCACAAATAATGACCTGCGTGCTGTACATTATGCTAGCATGCTAAGCTAAAATAGGGAACATGATAAACAATATCATAACATCAGCCTGTTAGCATTGTCATTGTGAACATGTTAGAGCATTTAGATTGAATCATCACTGTTTCTAAGTGTAGCCTAACACAGCTGTTAGCAAGCATGTAGTAGAATCTTACTATTTCCTTTGTAAAGACTAGACAGCATTTAGGCAGCTTATATTTAACCAAATTCAACAACATAAGGTGGGAAAAGAAAACAACAAGATTTCAGAAAACCCTCAAAGGCACATGATACAAGGATTGGCAACTAGAAGTTTCTCAATTTCAAAAAAACACTCAACAAAACGTTTTGGAACTAGATATATCAATTAGCCAATAGACTAGTGTCACTCATTTGTAAAATGTAAAAGACTAAACGATTACTCTCTCAATCAAAAGACGAGCATTAGATTAACCCAAAGCCGTAATCATTCAATGCAGCACTTTAACAACTGGTGCATGTGATCGTGAGCTACATTTTAACTCACCAGTGCTCAATAAGCCCTATCGACCCTCGCGCTGCCCTGGAGTTGACCCCTGCTGGACCGGGACAAAGTCACTCTGATCTACCACTGTATGTGGTTCTGGCCCTGAGCGCTGCCATAGAGATTAAACCCTAGGAGGTAAATGAAAGACAGTAGTTAAACCATGATCTCAGCTCTTTCAAATGGACCATTGTTAGTTTCTGACCGGCTGCCACACAGCAATTGTTTTGACCCAAATTCTCTTTGTGCAAGAAACCGAAACAGAGAGATGTGGTAAAGATTGATGCTTTCCTAAAGCATACAATTAGAGTTGTATGCTAATCAAGAAGAACCAAAGTACTTAAAGATGATTTTCATTTGAGAAAAGGATTCAGGTTCCCATTCAACCTCTATTTATGTATCCCGGGTGGTCACGATTAAATACAGCAATCCTTCACGATGACCCTAAACCTAAGACATTAGCATTACATTTGGACAGATAATGTTTGCAAATACTTAAAGAACTTCAACAAAAATGAAAAATTAGCAAAGACTGAGGAGCCAAAGTGAACAAGAGAGAAGTAAAACAAATACCAGGAGCGGTAAGATAGTTATATGCCAGACAAAACATCCACCATATTTGAGGAAAACACAAATAAACACAACAAGGAGCCTGTCTTTACTTAGAGGCAACTCATTCTAACACAAAGAGGTGGAGGTTTACAGCGGTCCAGACTGAGAGAGCTGTTTAGGTAGTGATTCAGCCTCAGCCTGGATGCTCAGGTCTGCATGGGGAGTGGGTGTGTATTACTGAACGCTGAGGCTTCTCTTCCTCCTCCCACAGCCCAGAGATCGGCCCAGGAGCTGCCTCTGGTGGATAAACGGAGCCTGGAGACGTGTCCTGCCCTTGGGGGCGAGAGGATGCGAATCGACGGACACAACTTCCAGCATGACTCCAAGGTGGTGTTCGTGGAGAAGGCTCAAGGTAAAACAGGAGGAGTTCTGGACTCTTAGTACAGCTGTGTGTCTCTGTGTGTGTCTCCCTCTCCCTTATTGGAGAAACCCCAGCACTGCCTCCCCCTCTTCTCTCCCCCCGCCGTCAAAATATCCTCCGTCCTGCCAAAGAGCCACATGTGGTGCACATTAATGCGCTGTATTTTTAACCAAGCAGATTTACATTTGCAGAAGTTTCCATTGCCTGTTCAGCAGAGGAATGGATCACCAATGCAGTGTGTATGCGTGCGTGAATGTGTGTGTGGACGCATGCACTTTTGTGTGCGCCATGCGTCATTATTTGTTTCTCTTTTTTTTTTACTTTAAGCCGTTTTGGTTTGGAGGCACAGAGGACTGCCGCCAGATGTCGATGCGTGGAGGTTTACAAACTGCAATTTCCTTGATTAGCCTCAGCAAAGCAACGTGAGCCACAGTGTATGCCGGGGCTGAGCCATGTAAACACATGTGATCCTATCTGCCCGGTGACTCATACAAATAAAAAGAGGGAAGCCTTTCATTGTTCCACCTGTGAAAGGAAGAATTCAAGGCTGTCCTATCACAGAGAACCCCTACCCCCTCCAGCGCTGTACAATGGAGAAGTGAGATTGTTTTTCATAACAAGAAGTGATTGGATCAGCGGAGGCCCCTTTGATTAACCCTGATCCTTCCTGAGAGGCAGGGCCGGTTTTTGGCATAGGCGATCGCCTAGGACGCCAGATCTGGAGGGGGGGGGGGGGGGGGGGGGGGCGCTAGTAGCTCTGGGAGGGACATTTTTTTTTTTTTTACCTTTGGTGCTCATCCTAATTTTCGGCCTTGATGTAACAACATTCATAATTAAGTAAATGTAACACCCTTTTCACCCCGGTTACACTTTTAATTTGCCCTGTACGATGGCCGCTGTAAGTGATGAAAGTGGGGGATGTTGGCTTATCAGGCGCCCGCAGCTCACAGCCAAAGTGCGAGTGAGCGTGGGAGTGAGCGTGGGAGAGAGAGAGGGCGCACCGGTACCGGCACTGTTGTTATTAGAATCTGGTGCTAGCTGCTCTAACGGATATAAGAAGAAGATGTTTCTACAACAAGGGTGGAGGAGAGCTCTCCTGTCAGACTGAGAGGCTCAGTGAGGTAAAGGACTCTGAGTGTTTAGATAGTTCACTTTAGTCTAAGTTAACTCAGTGGGTCTCAAACGTTTTGATCACAATTTATGTAAACACATATTTCCAAGGCACTCCTTTATAATTATTAGGATAAATAAAAACAGGTTTGAAATCATTTCAATGTATACTATAGGACAGTAAACCAAACACATCGTTTAAAACTGGAGATAAAAAAATATGCATAAATAAATAAATGTTAACTAGGTAAAATAAGATATGAATGAACAACAAAAATAAAAAAAGTTACATTTATTTGTTATTTGTCGGCTAAAATCTCGCCTAGGGCAATACATTGGCTAGAACCGGCCCTGCTGAGAGGAGTGTTTGAGTTGTGTGTCCTGAAGCTGCTCTGGAGACAACAACAATGTCACTGGTTGGATTGAACTTCAGTTATAAGGAGAAAAAAATCTAATTTTTACAGTACAAGTTAACCAGCTAGCAAAAATAAAGTTCTGGTTTCAATTTAAAGCAAAAAGGAAGCTAGCTTATTAGCATGACTAGTTGGCCTCCTGCTGATCATATTTTAAATGTTGACTTTATGCTACAGTATGCTAACTAATCATTTTATTAGTTTTGTGTTTTTAAGTTAATTTGCCATATTTTGTAAAAAAGTTAACTTGGCTACTCTAGTTATGCTATGCTAGCTTTACCTAGAAAATCTGATCATTAGTAAAGCTAAGTTTTAAGCTAATACAATGTTGTTTTGTTGTGCATTTTCCGCTACTCACTTACAGGATGCATGAGCAAGATCAAATATTTCCCAAGATCAGTACAAGGAAATTATTAATATAAGATCATTTCATATTTAATTTAAACTATGGAATTGAACATGCTTCCATTAGTAATCTCAAGTAAATAGTAGTAAAGGAAAGAATATCCATTTAATTCATAAAACTTTTTATTAAAAAATGCAAATAATTTTTCGAAATTCAGCATTTCAAAATGTTTGACGAATTAATCTGGTGATAATAATTTATATCCTATCATAATATTAAGAATACAAATTAAAACAGCCTTGATGAGGAAGACCATGAGGTGCTATGCTGTAAAATGTTCACTCTAAAAAATAATAATAAATGGAGGTAAAGATTTATTTTTGTCAAACTGCTTTTTCCAAAGTCCAGAAAAACACTTTTTTTATCTTCTTTTACCATTTCAGATTTTTCACAATCTCCCAAGTCTGTATGTGCTGATTACTTTTACATGATCCTCTTAAAAGTAAACCCTAACCTAACCAAGGAATTTACCTCTGCCTCTTTGAAAATAAATCAATGAATTGGGTAATTAGTTTCGTAAGCAGAAAGAGAGTAATGACCAGATGTAAATACTGTCAGTACCAGTTTTCTGATTCCGTTTTGTTCTGAATCTGACGGGCCATGTGCCGGCTCTGGACTGATGCTGATGGGTGTGCTTCTTGCTTTTGATGAGGGTTTCCCCCGCGTCTGGCTCCGGCATCAGATTCCCGGGCAATCCTACCATGGAAACATCCTTAAGCCAGGCTTCCACTGCCCCCCCCCCCCCCCTTTTCTGTTTCCCTCAACCCTTCCACATCTCTATCCAAGCTGCCTCTGTGCCACCAGTTCATTAATTCTGCTCCCGATGGATCATGCTGCTAGGTCTTGGTATCTGTATAAATAGAGCAGTGAATAGGTACAGTAGACAATTAGAGGCATCAGTCGTCTCTGGGGTGAAATGGCTTCATTGGTGCAATGAGATAAGTTTGGGGAGATACAAAACAACATATTAAAAATTAATCTCTGCTTTCAGAACTTTGCTTAGAACTGATTGAATCTGAACATTTAAAGGGATTGTCAGGATGTTTTGAAGTGGGATTGTATGAGGTACTTATCCATATTACCTGCAGTAGATAGTGGTCATCACGCCTAAATAAAAAAATGTATTTAAGACACATAAAAAATGTCCCACCTTTAAAAAACAATAGAGCTTTTGTGTATCCTATATTCAGAATATTTTCATCCCTTTACCTCAGAGTGATACAGCTATTTCAAACATAGAACTGAAGCGTTAACATCCATCAATCTCCCCCTCAAAGCCACCAGAGTTCATTAAAATAAATCAGTTTTTAAACATCCAAGAACACAGTGGTTGTTGGTCTGTCACTGCCTCAATCTGTTACTTTGTTTGTGTTATTGTTTGACTTTTGGTTGGTTCAGATTCACCCAGGTCACAAAATAACACAAGCTAACTAACTGATTGAAGCAGTGGTGGACCAGCATCTCCTGCGTCCTGTGAGCTAAAATTATGTTTTTTTTAATGGAGTCTGGTGCTTCTTGAATGTAGACTGTACTCCAGCTCACGGAAACCTAAAGCGGTAAAAAAGTGATACATTTAGCATACACTTACAGTAAATGCATATATTATTTTTGTTAACTTAAGCTGATCAATTATCCAATCTTGTTGTTTTTTTACCTACAGTACATCTACTGTAAATAATATACTGACTACGGAAAGGTACCTCATACAACCCCCCTCAAAACATCCTAATTATCCCTTTATTATGCTATATTATTATTTTATTTGTGCCAAAGCAGAGCTCTGGGAAACACTTTAACAATCAACTCATAAACCCTGATTGGTTGATGTTGTTGCCACAAAGAACTTAGGGTATTTAATTTTACCGATTTATTATTTTCCTGACAATTATCCAATAAAGCATTCTCGCAAAGTAGCATTCATGAAGCTGCGGTAACAGAATGTGTGGGCGTTGACATATTGTGTGTTTGTATGTGACCCAAACCTATAGCATGTGTGTGTGAGTGTCAAACACACTGAAGCATATTTATTTTGCTTTCTGTTTTTGTGTCCAATCTACATTATGTTTAAGAAGAGATAGTGACACTGGGGCACTTATAAGTACTTCTCATTCATGTTTTCAAGTGTGTTATGTTGCTATACTGTATGACTCACGAAGAAGGAAATCCCTGCTTCCCCCCATAGAGACTAACTCTGTCACATGTTCCTGTGTCTCAGCACAACATCTGACAACAGTCACAGCTCTGCTCCATCACGCCCCCCTGAGCCTCCCGTGTCCCGCCTCAGTAGAAATATCCCAGATAGGATCAGTTCAGTTGTCACTCCTGGTTACAGCCAATCTGTCATCAGAGATTATGGTACGGCCTGAGCGCTGCAGACCTCAGCCTGTAATCCAAACCTCACTCAATCTCACCTTGCTTTCATTTGCCCCGGCCTGTCCAGAAGATGATGCCTCTGATAAGTACCGTTCACTCCATTTGTAAAATTAGGCCCTCCTGTCCTTTATTCACCTCTGTTTTTTTTGTTTGGTGTGCTAGGTTCACAGATATAATGTATTGGCTGAAAAAGGCTAAACTTGCCAAAATTCTAAAATAATAATAATTGAAATGGCAGAGTGTTTTAAAAACATACAAAGACTACTCAAGCAGGCACGAGCGTGTATCCTCAAAAATCTGAAATGTTCAAGAATAAAACAGCCCTGCTCTTATCTTTGTGACAATGCATTATTCAGCTGATCTATTATGGTTTGTTTAGTTGAACAGGCAGGAAAATGTCTATCTCGAAATGTCTAAATCACCAAATTTGACAATGGGAGTATTGATGATAATTTGGAAAATGTATTACCATAGAATTTCCTAGCAAGAGTATTATACAGTGTTTATATTTAGTGTAGGCTTAGTAGAGGACATTATAGGATTGCACTAAAGTGAGTAAATTAAACACATAAATTAAGTAAACAAAACTGGACTAGAAACATATGTAACTGTAACAAGTGTAGCCTAAAGCTCTACTTACTAGCTTTCAACTGCATCTCAAGGTCGTCATTTAGCAAGTGGAGCAAAAC